TAAGTTCTCATCCAGATTCTTCTTAAGCGTTTCTGGTGACAAGGGAACTTCAGTGTCCTGTACAGTGACATATTCCAGTTGCAGATGCCTCACTTCTGATTTTTATAAATCAGTAAGAAAGACCAACAACTCAGTTGATTGGCAGAGGACTCGAAAAAGCACTTCCCAGCAGAAAGAAAATACCAGTGACTTAGAAACATGAAAAGCTATTATGATAGTAGAACTAAAAATGAAGCTACATGTATATGTATTGATATATAATGATATCTAAGGCTTTAAATGGAGAAAAATAAGTTATAGAAAAGTATGTTTCCTTTCGTGTATGTGTTTTCTCCTTAAAAAGAGATACATATGCTCATTTATGCACACAATTTCCAGAAGGGTGTGAAGAACTTAACTATTAGTTGCCAGTAGAGAAAGAGATCTAATTTGAGTTGTGTATCTCTTTATATTATGGATTTCCCCCTGAGTGCATGTATTTTTCAAAGACAGAAAATGAATTTAAAATGTTCAGACTTAAAATGAGCTAAAATCTGTCATTCTGTACATCACAGCCCCAACTTCTGGAGTTGTGCAAAATAAGAGTATTTTATCTCCTAAGTTTTCTGATATTTTAAAATAAATCACTATGGTCTTGTAAGTGGTCTTTTTTCCAGTGTAATAAAAGTACTTCTGTTTGGGATACCTGGGTGGCTTAGTTGGTTGAGTATCTGCCTTTGGCTCGGGTCATGATCCCCGGGTCCTGGGATTGAGTCTGGAGTCGGGCTCCTTGGTCAGTGGGGAGCCTGGTTCTCCCTCTGCCTGCAGCTCTCCCTGCTTGTGCTCTCTCTCACTCTCGACAAGTAAATAAAATCTTAAAAACAACAACAACAACAACAACAAACTTCTGTTTAACTGTATCATTTCTTGTGTGACATGGTATCCAGAATAGATTCCCTTACTATCCAGCTGTGAGTATTCATCTGTGAATATTCTCCTTTTTTTTTTTTTTTTAAGATTTTATTTATTATTTGACGGAGACACACGAGAGAGGGAGCACAAGCAGTCTCAGGACACAGGTGTCCCCATCTGCAAATATTCTTGATATGGCCAAATCTCCCACACCAAGCTTCCCTTTAGAAACTTAAGTTTTTGTGTCCTAACCAGGGAGATTGGGTAGTTAGTTGGTTGATTTTAGTAGTCATGTTATCATTGGTTCTTTGAACTTGCTATGACTATATCTCTTAATTGAGTCATTTCCACATGTACCCTGTGGCCTAGTGGAGATTTGGCACCGTGCTGACATGGACTAATCAACATTCTTTAAAGGTAGCTCTTCAGCAAGCTGCAGATACTTATACTATACGTTTTTGACAAACAACTGGCTTTAGTCTTCCTGTTTTTTCTTAATATTAGCTTTTCAAAAGAAGATTGTTTGCTAGAGAATTAAATGGCTGCTTCTGCATGCCTCTTTATTTTTCATGGTAGGGATATTGGGGACTCTGTACTCCTAGCTCTAGCTTCCATACGCTAGTTCTGTCAACCTTCCTTCAACATTATTTTTTTTTAAGGTTTTATTTATTTATTAGACAGAGAGAGAGATCACAAGTAGACGGAGAGGCAGGCAGAGAGAGAGAGAGAGAGAGAGGGAAGCAGGCTCCCTGCTGAGCAGAGAGCCCGATGCGGGACTCGATCCCAGGACCCTGAGATCATAACCTGAGCCGAAGGCAGTGGCTTAACCCACTGAGCCACCCAGGCGCCCCCTTCAACATTATTTTATACTATTTACCAAAACAAGTGTTCTTTTATTAGAAAACATTTGTGGCTGATTCTTGCTACTAATTGTGGGCTCAGAATTTTGTTTCTTCAAAAAAAGTCTTGTCTTACTGCAATGGCAGTCTGCTTCCGTGGCCACGGCTGGATGTTGTCATTTCCTGGAAATGTACCCCAGCTCTGGTGCTCTGACCATAATTTCCAATTCTTTCACCTTGCCCTTCTACCTCTCTTTCTGGTTTCCAGAAGATTTACTCTTTGAAGCTTCTAGTATCTTGCCCCTGCCCTGTTCTTTCAGTTTATCAGCTGCTTTCAGATTTCACTCTCTTCTGTTATCTGTGGGTTACTAGGTCACTCATTTATGTATTCTTGGGAATGCCTTCAGTTCTCATCTCCTTGTCATCTACCCCACTTGTCCCACCCAACTTTTTGGAGTAACTTACCAGTTGTTCCTTTAGTTGCTTCTAGATGGTTTAATGCTGCCAGCAAAAGTAGAATAAATGTGCTGACAAGCTCTATTATAAATTAATAATGTCCAGCTTTGGGCAGCAACATTGAGGATTATAGTCCGCTTCCATTTCTGTTACTTACACTTGAATTTTAACTATTTTGCTCTGTTCCTTCTCTCAATGTTCAAGTGAGGATGTGAGAGAGAAATAGAAACCAAAAGGATATGCTTGCTTTGTTTTAAAATTTAACCATGTCTTCACTCATCTATATCCCCTTCTTTCAAGATCATTCCCTTCAGTCTGTTGTAGTGATTCCATATTTTTTTCTGTGATCTAAACAACTTGTTTGCTCCCCTGCTCTATTTATGATGAGGGAGGGAGGCAAGATACAGAATGGCTTGTATGGTATGATTGCTATACTTGAAAACAAAGATCTTTGTTTATCCTTCTCCTCCCCACCACCATCACATACACAGAAGAAGCATTGGAAGGCTTTTCACACCAAGGTATTAATAGAAGTTGTCTCTGGATGTTGGATTGTAGACTTTTCCTTTTGCTTGTTTGTAATTTGATCTTTCTCTATTAACATGGCATGCCTTTACAGTGAGAAAATTTTATATTCCCCATATTTTCTGTACATGCCTATATTATTATTATAAACATTTTATTATCATGTTCTGGGAAATGTCTTGCCATCTCTGTTAAGCAGTTCTCTGATTTCTGAAATGGATCATTATTCCCCCCCACCCCCACCGAATCCTACTTCTGTAATGTTTCACCAGCTTTTGATCATGTGATGATGCTGATTATAGTTTGTCAGGATTATCTAGTTCATTTGCTGGTCCAAAGTAGAACTGCTGAGGCTTAGGAAAGAGTTCTGGTCACCTCAGTATTTCCAGCACTCCTGTATGGATATAGATGGATACAAGCATGGGACAAGCATGAACATTCTTTTTTTTTTTTTTTTTTTAAAGATTTTATTTATTTGACAGAGAGAGAGATCACAAGTAGGCAGAGAGGCAGGCAGAGAGAGAGAGGGGAGGAAGCAGGCTCCCTGCAGAGCAGAGAGCCTGACGCAGGGCTTGATCCCGAACCCTGGGATCATGACCTGAGCCGAAGGCAGAGGCTTTAACCCACTGAGCCACCCAGGCGCCCCAAGCATGAACGTTCTTAAATATACACTGAAAAGGAGAGTACAAATATGAATGACATTCCAAATGCTTGGGTGTGTCCAGGTACCTTTGATGTTCTTGAAAAAATTCCACATGGTACTAATTTAAATCAAATCTTTTTTTTTTTTTTTTAAGATTTTATTTATTTATTTGACAGAGAGGCAGCTAGAGAGGGAACACAAGCAGGGGGAATGGGAAAGGGAAAAACCGGCCCCCCACTGAGCAGGGAGCCTGACCCCGTGCCTATCCTAGGACCCTGGGATCATGACCCAAGCCAAAGGCAGATGCCCCAACCACTGAGCCACCCAGGTGTCCCCAAATCTAGAATGTCGTAGGTTGTAAGACACAACTATCCTATGAACCACTAAGAAAGGAAAAAATGCTGCTTGTCAAACTATGATGTTATCGATGGTGTGATGCAGAAGTATTATATGTGGGGAAAATGTACATCACAGAATTAATGAAATACAGTTGTTCTAAGGTTGCATCTGTGAAGTTTTTAGTGGTTTTGGAGTAGAAGAAAGTGTTTAACCTCAACTCTGATTCAGATCTCATCCATGTATTGCCAACTTTTTCCCCCCTTCATTGTTTGGGTTTTGTATGGCTACGTAGACATTGGTGAATAGACTGAGTTATGATGGAGTCAGGCCTACATTTGGAGACAGGATTTTTGTACATTTCTTTTAAGGGGCATTTAAAATAGATTATTATATTCCAGTCTTGCCATATAGCCTATAGAGTGGCCTGCCTAAAGTACTAATCTGGCTGTCATCACCTAAAGCCCTTTTTGTAGCTTCCCTTTCCCCAGTATGCCTTGGTGCACTGGTGTATACCAGACTTAGGGCTTTTGATTCCACAGTCTCAGGACACAGTGTGGTTAGCTTTGTTAGAACATAAGTGTGTGCTCAGAGAGCCACAGGCTGTGACCTTGAATAGAGTATATACCTTGTAATCAGCAAAGGGACTGTTGAATGGACACCACAAAGGATTAAGAACACCTAATCTGTAAGATAAAATCTATTTGGCCTCATGAGAAACTGGCCTTTGGACCTGGCTACTGCCCCCTACTTCACCTAATTATTGGCTTCTTTCTGCCTTATACTTTATACTCAGGTAATGTTGAACTGTTTATAGTTTTCTAATGCATGTTGTTCAGTGTTTTCATTTCTGTGCCTTTGTGGAGACTCTCCCTCTGCTTAGAATCTCCCTACAGGTATATTCTTCAGAAACTACTCTTCTTTTAGGAAGGATTCTTCGCTTTCCTATCTTTCTACTAAACTGAGCTATCTCCCTCTTTGCTGTTACACTGTACATATTTCTATCCTTGTATATTTTATTATGTTGGAATTAACTTTTGTAACAAAATTATATTTTGTATTTATAGGACACTGTAGGCTTCTTAAGGGCAGGCACTCTGCTTTATTCACCTTTTTATTTCACAGTTCGTGGTGCTATCTTCAATAAATATTTGCTATACCAAATGTAATTGAAACTTTACCGAATACCATATTGAATAGGTTGTAGGTATCCTAGGTTTTAATAAAAAACAACTTTGATTTCAATTGGTTTTAAGTATTTACGATTTCTGTTTATTCTTTTGCATGCTTTCTTGGCTGGATGGCAATAGAGAAGAAGAAAATGAGGTAAGTATAATTTTAACTAGTTATTCAGTAATTATTGGATTAAAAATTCAGAATTGAATTGTGAGGTCGAGCCCCACATCAGACTCTGAGGAGCTGGACATGGACCCTGCTTAAGGTTTTCTCTCTCTCTCCCTGCTTTCGTGTGTGTGTTTGCTTTCTCAAACAAAAAACAAAACCCCCCACAATAACTCAGAATTTACCTATCTTTTTTTTTTTTTTTTTAAGTTTTTATTTTTAAAGTAATCTCTACACCCAATGTGGGGCTCAAATTCAACAACCCTGAGACCAAGAGTTGCTCACTCTACCAACTGCACCAGACAGGCAACCCTAGCTATCATTTTGAATGTGAAATGAAGTAATTGTTTTTGCTGAATTTTAAGATCTGTAGTAACTCATCCAGTGAGGAACGCTTTATATCTTGAGAAAACGGTTTTTAAACTTTGGAGCTTCAGAAGCTTTAGGCAAGATAGAGGAGACTGGCAGATCTGGAGACAGCATTTTCCCTGTTTTTATGTATTGAGCTACCATGTAAGATGTCATTTTTCAAGTGGACTCCGTTTCTTAAAAGTATTTGAAGACCACTGCTCTATGATAATGCGTGAGGAAACATTTACTTTCCCACTTGAATTGTTACTGTATAATACTGAAAACTCATTTCAGATTTTACTATATTGAAAGGGAAAACTTGTTCTCTTAAACAGTGAGAGTTGATTAAAGAATATCAATTAGAAAAGTGTTGCAGATGGCCAGTGTACCATCTTTAATCTAGGCTTGAGGGTGATAGAGTTTTCTGATGTTCTCTTTACCACCAAGGTTATGCCTTAAACTTCTAAAGCCCACTATTTCCTTTGGTGGTTTGGCAAAAAAGGGAGGGAAAAATCTTCTTAGATGTATACTTTGTGGTTCATACTCATACAGTAGAATTGGACTATAAATTAGCATGGCCTGAGTATGTGAGGCCCAGGCAGAGACAGTGGTAGTGTGCAAGGGCGGATTAATTTACAGGAAGCAGAAAAGTCAGGTCCTCATTTGCTTACCTCATCTGTAAAATAAGATGGGAGACTGCTGGTACAGACCAGTGGTTTTCAAATCTGGAAAGTCCATTGGAATTGCCTCAGATGCTTAGTTCCCCAAAATAAACCAAACAAAACATACTTTCTTGCCTTACCTTAGAACCAGTGAATTGCTGTTCCTTGGAGTTTTGTCGCAGATCCATATTTTACCAAGCACCTAAGTGATTCTGTGTGATGTCAGGAGACCACTAGTTATAATGACTTCTCTATTTCTTCTCAGTTAGGACACAGGACTAGACTATTCTCATTGAGTTGTTAGTTATTGCTCTCTATCTGCTTGTCTTTTTGTGTTGTGTCTTGAATTACATAGGATTTTTTTTTTTCATTTTTGAAAATTCTGCCTGGGGGGAACAATTATAAAATGGATAAATTCTTTGTGTAATAGACAAGAATAGAAAAATATGGGTAATTGTTGAAACTGAGGTGTGTACTTAGGATTTTTTATACTATCCTCTATACTTTAAGTATGTTTGAAATTTTCTATAATAAAGAAGAGCTTATCTAGCTTAGTGAAATTCATACTGTCCTTAAAAAGGACTTTTCATTTTTCTGACATTTTAAACTGTGATACTAGTCATTTGAAAGTAACTTTATTGTTGTAGTAACTGCTTGTTTTGTTCATTATAGGCAAAGATTGAAAATGTGCAGAAAACAGGTTTCATCAAAGGACCAATGTTCAAAGGTGTTGCTTCTAGTCGATTTTTACCCAAAGGCACCAAGACTAAAGTTAATTTGGAGGAACAGGGACGACAGAAGGTGTCTTTCAGTTTCAGCCTTACAAAGAAAACTTTGCAGAACAGGTTTCTGACTGCACTTGGCAATGAAAAGCAAAATGATACTCCAAACTCCCCAGCTGGACCTCTTCAAGTAGACTTGACCCCTAAAATTAAAATGGACATTGGAGATACCTTATCTACTACCGAAGAATCTTCCCCACCAAAATCAAGGGTAGAATTGGGCAAAATTCATTTTAAGAAACATCTGCTTCATGTGACATCCAGGCCACTGCTGACCTCTCCACCTCCTCCCATAGCACCATTACCAGCAGTCATAGCAGAATCAACAACTGTAGACTCGCCACCCTCATCTCCACCTCCACCACCTCCACCTCCTCAGGCCACAACACCCTCACCACCAGCACCAGTAACAGAGCCAGTGGCCTTGCCACACACACCAATCCCAGTTCTGATGACAGTACCAGTAGATGTAGCAGTTAGAGCACTGAAGGAACCACCAGTTACAACTGTACCAGAATCTTCAGAAGTGGACACTAAGCAGGAGGCTTCTGTATCTAATAGTTCAGAAGAACACATAACTCAAAATTTGAATGAGCAAGTAGATATTCCCTCACAAAAAGAGGATTCCCATATTGGGAAGGAAGAAGAAATTCCAGATAGTTCTAAGAGTAATCTGGGCTCCAAAAAAACAGGTTCTAAGAAGAAATCCTCGCAATCTGAAGGCACCTTTCTTGCTTCAGAATCTGATGAAGATTCTGTACGGACTTCCTCAAGTCAAAGATCACATGATTTAAAATTTTCAGCAAGCATTGAAAAGGAAAGAGATTCAAAAAAGAGCTTAGCACCTTTAAAAAATGAGGATTTAGGGAAATCTTCACGGTCTAAAACAGAGAGAGATGATAAATATTTTAGCTACTCAAAACTTGAAAGAGATACTCGGTATATATCTTCTCGATGTAGATCAGAGAGAGAGCGAAGGCGGAGCAGATCTCGTTCCAGATCTGACAGAGGCTCTAGAACTAGTTTATCCTATTCCCGGTCAGAGCGATCCCATTATTACGACTCTGATCGTCGCTACCATCGGAGTTCCCCTTATCGAGAGAGGGCACGCTATTCTCGGCCATATACAGATAACAGAGCTCGAGAGAGTTCTGACTCAGAAGAGGAGTATAAGAAGACCTACTCAAGGCGCACCTCCTCTCATTCCTTCTCTTACAGAGACCTAAGGACATCATCCTATTCTAAATCTGATAGGGACTGCAAAACTGAGTCCTCTTACTTAGAGATGGAGAAGAGAGGAAAGTATTCTTCCAAATTAGAAAGAGAATCAAAAAGGACTTCAGAAAATGAAGCAATGAAAAGATGTTGTTCTCCCCCTAATGAACTGGTATTCCGACGGGGGTCATCCTATTCCAAGCATGATAACAGTGCTTCCCGTTACAAATCTACCCTTTCAAAATCTATATCCAAGTCTGATAAATTTAAAAATTCTTTCTGTTGTACAGAATTAAATGAGGAAATCAAACCGTCTCAGTCTTCTAATTTACAGGCTCCTTGTTCAAAAGGTAGTGATTTAAGAATGATTAGTAAAATTCCTGAAAGAGAAAAGACTGGGTCTCCATCTCCATCAAATCGATTAAATGATTCACCTACTTTTAAAAAGCTAGATGAATCACTTATTTTTAAATCTGAATTTATAGGACATGATAGCCATGATAGTATTAAGGAATTAGACTCTTTATCTAAGGCGAAGAATGATCAATTAAGAAGTTATTGCCCCATAGAATTAAATATAAATGGATCTCCTGGGGCAGAATCTGATTTGGCAACATTTTGCACTTCTAAAGCTGACACTGTTTTGATGTCTTCTGATGATAGTGTGACTGGATCGGAGGTGTCCCCTTTGGTCAAAGGATGCATGCTTCCATCAAATGGATTTCAGAATGTTAATAGATGTAAAGAAAAAGACTCGGATGATAGTTGCATGCTGCATAGTAAGTCAGGAAGCCCATTTAGAGAAGCAGAACCTCTGGTGTCACCACACCAAGATAAACTTACGTCTTTGCCGGTTATGACTATAGATTATTCTAAAACTGTAATTAAAGAACCAGTCGATATGACAGTTTCTTGCTGTAAAACCAAAGATTCAGATATATGCTGTACTTCAAATGACAAGAACCCTTCATTGCATCATTCTGAAGCTGAAAAGATTGAGCCTTCAGTTATGAAGATTTCTTCAAATAGCTTTATGAATGTGCATTTGAAATCAAAAACAGTTATATGTGATAATAGAAATCTGACAGATCAGCACTCAAAATTTGCATGTGAAGAATATAAGCAGAATGTTGGTAGCACTAGTTCGGCTTCTGTTAACCATTTTGATGATTTATATCAACCTATTGAGAGTTCAGGCATTGCTTCATCTCTTCCAAGTCTTCCACCAGGAATAAAAGTGGACAGTTTAACTCTGTTGCAATGTGGAGAGAACACATCTCCGGTTTTGGATGCTGTGCTAAAGAGTAAAAGCACAGAGTTTTTAAAGCATGCAGAGAAAGAAACAGTAGCAGAAGTAGGTAGCGGCCTGCCTGATTCAGGAAGAGGATTTGCTTCTTGGGAAAATAGGCATAATAATGGGTTGTCTGGGAAATGTGTGCAAGAGGCTCAAGAAGAAGGGAATTCCATATTGCCTGATAGAAGAGGAAGAGCAGAAATCTCTTTAGATGAAGAAGGAGGAAGAGGACATGTGCATACCTCTGATGATTCAGAAGTTGTATTTTCGTCTTGTGACTTGAATTTAACCATGGAAGACAGTGATGGTGTAACATACACCTTAAAATGTGACAGTAGTGGGCATGCCTCAGAGATTGTATCTACTGTCCATGAAGATTATTCTGGTTCTTCTGAAAGTTCAAGTGATGAAAGTGACTCTGAAGATACAGATTCTGATGATAGCAGTATTCCAAGAAACCGTCTTCAGTCTGTTGTGGTAGTGCCAAAGAATTCTACTTTGCCTATGGAAGAAACCAGTCCTTGTTCTTCTCGGAGTAGTCAGAGTTACAGACACTATTCTGACCACTGGGAAGATGAGAGATTGGAGTCAAGGAGACATTCATATGAGGAAAAATTTGAGAGTGTAGCAAGCAAACCCTGTTCTCAAACCGAGAAGTTCTTCCATCATAAAGGGACAGAGAAGAATCTGGAAGTTTCTTTCTCACAGCCTAGCAGAAAACAAATAGATAATCACCTATCTGAAATTGCTCATCCTCAGAGTGATGGGGTTGATAGTACAAGTCATACAGATGTGAAATCTGACTTTCTAGGTCATCCAAATTCTGAGGAAACCACAAAAGCCAAAATAGCTTCTAGGCAGCAGGAAGAGCTGCCAGTTTATTCTTCTGATGATTTTGAAGATGTCCCAAGTAAGTCTCGGCAACAGATCACTTTCCCTAACAGGCCGGATAGTCGACTGGGAAGAACAGAGTTGAGTTTTTCTTCTTCTTGTGAGCGAGTGGATAGTTTCCGTTCATCAGAAGAGCTCCGAAACCTAGGGTGGGAATTCTCTCAACAAGAAAAGCCTACTACCACGTATCAACAACCTGACAGCAGCTATGGAGCCTGTGGTGGACACAAGTATCAGCAAAGTGCAGAGCATTATGGTGGGACACGTAATTACTGGCAAGGCAATGGCTACTGGGATCCAAGATCAGCAGGTAGACCTCCTGGAACTGGGGTTGTGTATGATCGAATTCAAGGGCAGGTACCAGATTCCCTAACAGATGACCGTGAAGAGGAGGAGAATTGGGATCAACGTGGAGGATCTCATTTTTCAACGCAGTCCAGTAAGTTTTTTCTGTCCCTTCAGAAGGACAAGGGGTCAGTGCAAGCACCTGAAATAAGCAGCAATTCCATTAAGGAGTCTTTAACTGTGAATGAAAAGAAAGAACTTTCAAAAAACTTAGAAAAAAATGATATGAAAGATAGAGGGCCTCCAAAAAAAAGGAGACAGGAATTGGAAAGTGATTCTGAAAGTGAAGGTGAACTTCAGGACAGAAAGAAAGTTCGAGTGGCAGTAGAGCCCGGGGAAACAGCAGTGCCTCCGGGCTCAGCCCTGGTTGGGCCTTCTTGTGTCATGGAGGACTTCAGGGACCCACAGCGATGGAAGGAATATGCCAAGCAAGGGAAGATGCCTTGTTACTTCGATCTGATTGAAGAAAATGTTTATTTAACAGAAAGGTAAGCTTGCTTAATACTTGTGCAGCAAATTTTAACCTCTTTTTGTAAAAAAAAAAAAAAAAAAAAAAAAAAAAAAAATCAGCTTTCAATGATTCACGTTATATGAGGTCAATTGTATGAAATACAGGTTTGTGATAAGATATACATCAAACAATTGAAAAAGTATTTACCTATTTAGATTTGATGTCATAGGGTCCTTCCCTCAGTATCCATCCCCCCCTGCCCAGGAAGGTGATGTCTAATTATTTTTTATTTGAGGGGGGAGTCTCATTACCTTTTGGGTTCTGAAAGTATGATTTAGGCCAGCCCTATTTTTCTTAAATTCCTTTTGCATGTGTAACTATGATGAACAATGAAATAAAATCTCAGCAAAATAGTCTGCTCTTAGAAAAAGAAAAATGTAATTGTGCTTGATTTTTTTTTTTTTTTTTTCCTTTTCAAAAATGCTCAGAATGAAGTATCTTTGAAAGGTACTTCATAAAACTGGAACTAGACTAGAACACCATTTTCTGTCTGGTCTTTTAGTCTATTGCTAATAGATTAAATGATTAAATTTGGTAATAGCATAACCACTATTTTAGAATTAAATGATAAAATGGTTTACTACAGATCCCTAACAAGAAGCAAGTATAATGAGAACAGGAGTAATGAAACATAGTCCTCCAAAGCAGAGCTGCACAGCCTGCTTTCTTTCATCTTTCCTCGACAGTCCTCTTGTTTTCCCAATATAAATATGTGTTGAATGTGCCTTTTTAAACAAAAAAACCTGTAGTCTTTCCTTTTGCAAATTTCTCTTCTACCTAAGACTCTACCTAGCCATCATCCTTTTAAGTGTTAAAAAATTTTTTTATAATGAAATTTTTTTTCACTGTGGTTAAGGTAAAGTTAAAATTAGGTCTCATGAGAAGTTTTTCGCATTTAAACAAAAAAGCTTTTTTGGGGCTCCTGGGTTCAGTTAGTTGAGCATCCGACTCTTGTTTTTTTTTTTTTTTTTGTTTTTTTTTTTTTAAAGATTTTATTTATTTATTTGACAGAGAGAGATCATAAGCAGGCAGAGAGGCAGGTAGAGAGAGAGGAGGAAGCAGGCTCCCCGCTGAGCAGAGAGCCCGATGCGGGGCTCGATCCCAGGACCCTGGGATCACGACCTGAGCCGAAGGCAGCGGCTTAACCCACTGAGCCACCCAGGCGCCCCCGGACTCTTGGTTTTAATTCAGGTCATGATCTCAGGGTTGTGAGATCGAGCCCTGTGTCAGGCTTCATGATGGGCTTGGAGTCTGTTTGAGATTCTCTTTCTCCCTCTGCCCCTCTCTCTGCTCACATGTTTTCCCTCTCTCTTTCTGAATAAATAAATAAATCTTGAAAAATAAAACCCTTTTTATAATATAGAGAGTCTCTTACAGTTATAATTTACATCTAATAAATTAGGTTTAAGTTTAAAATATTGAACTTTATTTTTATTTATTTATTTATTATAAATGAAAGGTAACTGTTTATTACTGGAGAGAAAAACGTATACAAGAAAATCTAGATTCATTTTCCTCATGCACTACTTTTGTAATAAAGTTCCAGATAATCAACTTTGAAGAATTTACAAGGATAAATTTTTTTTTTTTTTGGATAAATTTTTCTTAATGCATGACCATTTACTGTATGATGGACATTTTTTCATAGAAATCAAATACGGAAACAATATATTCTTATAGTTTACAAGAAGCTTAGAACATTGTATTAACAGAAGATGGTATATTTTACTGTAAAATATTATAAAAGTGATACAATTTTGTGGCTCATATGTTTAATTACTTGATTTGAACAGGGGAATGGAAAAAAAAACCAGCAAGACAGGCCTGGCTTTTAAGATTTTTTGTATAATTCGTTCTACTTTCACATCATCTCCAATTAGCTGATACACATAAGTGACAACTGTAGAAGCCTGGATGTCCATCAACACAAATGAAGGAATAATGTTTGTTTCCAAGGCATTATATGCTCCAGTGGCAGAACCTGGGTTAATGTAGAATTTATTCTCATGCTCAAATGCTTCAAATTTGTGTGTGTGTCCTGAGATAAGAATGTCCACATCAAACTGCCTCTGCCAACAGGGCTAAGCTGGCCATATCTCCCCAAGGAATAACTTGATGCCCATGGATCAAACCAATTTTGAACTGCCCAACAGTCACAACTTTCTGTTCTGGATAATTCAGATTCTCATCGAAGTCTCCTCTCACAATATGAACATCACCGGCCAGCGTCTTGAGATAGTCATAACTCTCTTTGGTGCAAAGGTTTCCAGTACAGAGAATGTGCTGAATCTTTCCTGGCACCAGCAGTTTTTTGAATTTAGCCGGCAAACTGTTGCACCGGTGTGGGATGTGCAGGTCTCCTAATACCAATACCAACATCCTGTCACTGGGCTCCACTCAGTTACCAGCACTGCCGCCGCCTTCTTTCTCGGGCTCCCAATATTGAATATTATAAGTAGTAGTTTTTAGGAATTGCGTGAGTATTCACGAACAGGGTCTTTAAAAGACTAAAGTAAAACTAATCAACCCAGTCCTCTGGGATTTGCTCAGCAGTGAGATCCAGATACATGTAACACCATACATATAGGCTGGTGGGAACATTGGAGAGCTTTTTTGGAGTGGGAAGCATTTATATATATTCGACTTTTTTTTTTTTAAGATTTTATTTATTTATTTGACAGAGATCACAAGCAGGCAGAGAGGCAGGCAGAGAGAGAGGAGGAAACAGGCTCCCTGATGAGCAGAGAGCCCGATGCAAGGGCTCAATCCCAGAACCCTGGGATCATGACGTGAGCTGAAGGCAGAGGCTTTAACCCACTGAGCCACCCAGGTGCCCCATATTCAGCATTTTTAAAGTGCTTATTCTTATATGCTGGGCCTTTAGGAGCCACCAAGAACACAAATTTTGCAATGGTATTGAGTATAGTGAAAAAATTTTCTTAGGTTTAATGAAAATAGGGTTATCTGAATCCGTGCCCATTAGTCCTTACAAAGCGATACAAAATAAAGCTTTTGCTGATTTTTCAAAACTATAGTTCTTAAAGTACTTGTAAATAGATATATGGTTTATCTTTAGTTCCATTTCTTCAGACTGAGAATAGTCATACACTTATTAATGAATGATACCTTGAATTGATCCAGATGAGTCATTCCTGTTACTCAAACTTAGTTGAACCTGTCAGGACACTCTTCAGGTACTTTTTAAGTTGGGACTGTAATAGACCATATGTTGAAGATGAAAGCAGATTAGTTAGGAGATTAAGACAGCCGCATAGAGCAGCTGTGCTCTTCACTGTCTGATAGTTGGAGTCAGACTGCCCTAATCTTAAGAAGGCGATCTTCTTCAACCATCTTTGATTTTTTTTCCTCCCTTTTGGACCAGGGTCAGAAAGAAAGTTCAACATAAAAGGCAGGAAATAATCACATTTTCACTTTCTTTGCAATCTCTGGTGTAGGTATTTATGAACCCAGCCCGTTTTGAACAGTTTCCCTTTATACCCCCAAATCAGTCTGTGTTGAGAAAGTTTAGTCCTCTGATTATTCTGTAATGCCTTATTATTCTGTAATACAGTTCTGTAAATTATACTTCATTCTTTTTTTTAATCATTTAATTTTCTGTTAAATAAGATTTTTAGAAATGCATTGTTACTGAAAGATTCTCTGAAAGATTGAGTTAAACTCTTAATAAAAGTCTTATTTTTATAGATGCTTGGGTGGCTCAGTCTGTTAATCGTCTGACTCTTGATAATTGATTCAGGTCATGATCTCAGGGTTGTGAGAGAGAGCCCTGCATTGAGCTCTGATCTGGGCATGGAACCTGTTTAAGATTCTCTCTCTCCCTCTGTTCCTTCTCCATTGCTTATGTGTGCATATGCTCTCATGCTCTCTCTAAAAGAAAAAAAAAAACTTATTTTTTAATTTATTTTTTTAGCAACTTCTTTCCTTCCTCAGTCTCTGTGTTTTATAAATTAAATATCTTTTTTTTTCTCAACCATTATTTGCTCATCGAGGAGGACTGATTCTTTTTATTTTTTTAAGATTTTTATTTATTTATTTATTTGTCAGAGGGAACAGCAGGCAGAGAGAAGCAGGCTCCCCTCTAAGCAAGGAGCCTGATGTAGGACCCAATCCCAGGACTCCAGAATCATAACTAGCCAAAAGGCAGATGCCTAACCGACTGAGGCCCCCACACATTCCCAGGAGGACTGATTCTTTTTTTTTTTTTTTTTTAAGATTTTATTTATTTATTTGACCGAGAGAGATCACAGTAGACAGAGGCAGGCAGAGAGAGAGAGAGGGAAGCAGGCTCCCTGCTGAGCAGAGAGCCCGATGCGGGGCTCGATCCCAGGACCCTGGGACCATGACCTGAGCCGAAGGCAGTGGCTTAACCCACTGAGCCACCCAGGCGCCCAGGAGGACGGATTCTTAAACTTCATTTTAATCAGCTGTGTCACCTTTGATTCTCATTTTTCTCCTGAGCCAAATATGACTATTAACACTTGAAATTGCTCAGAATTTGAGACTTAGCTGAAATGGACTAGGAAATGAGGGCTGAGTCCAAAATGATAGACTTGAACTTACCCTATCCTCCCATTTGTCGGGGCTGAAGGTTGCCTCTCATTCTCTTTGCAACTTAAGTCTTAGTGTTTTTAGTCTCACAGATACTAGTGAGGAGATGTTTTCTTCCTTTTGAATGTTTGACTTAACCAGACTCGTTAAATGTGAAACTAAGGAGATTTAGCACATATTTGATTGTGTATGTTGTATCATTGCCAGGAGATTTCTTAAACCAATTCTTACGAAATTTTACCTAATAGAAAGAAGAATAAATCCCATCGGGATATTAAGCGAATGCAGTGTGAGTGTACACCTCTTTCTAAAGATGAAAGAGCTCAAGGTGAAATAGCATGTGGGGAAGATTGTCTTAATCGTCTCCTCATGATTGAATGGTAAGTAAATTAAAATGTTCTGATTTTGTTCAATCGTTCTATTAAATGTCTCAAAATAGTAGAAAGAATTAGTGATGAATCAGATTTAACTTTTCTCCTACCTGTCGTTGAGTATTTATAAGCAATGAAATCTCCAATGTATAACAGTGTTTATAAGGAGATAGATTTCTCTTGCATTGTACATTATAGTATACTTTGACAGTGCTCTGTAAAGTAGCCCTAAAACTAATGTTGTAACCTTTTATCTCTTACAATGTTCGTGTCTTGAGAGGTAAATGTTGGTATTTTTTTAGCTTTTACTATAAGATGAGATAAAACCCTAGCATTTCAAAAGTGCATAAAGTAAAATGTCTTCCAAACCCCAATCCCTCTATTTCTGGTCATTCCCGGTACTTTTTATACCTATACCAACATTCATAGATATTTCCACTTTTTACGTATAGAAATGAAATCTTTACCATATGTACTTTTTTGAATTTTATCCCCTCACCCTGGCCCAAACACACATGAACACATAATTAAATATGTTTTGGATGCTTGTTCAGAGCAATGCATACAGACCTATCTTAATCTTTTCTAGGTTGCTTTATATAGTCTGTTTATAGTTAACTCATAATTATTTATCTCCTCTTAAGACATTTTCTTCTATATTTTTCTTATAAGGCATAAATGTCTTTACATTAAAGTGTGGTTAATTTTTTTTTTACCAGTTTGATTGATGAAAAATTGGATCATTTTTTAACACGAAGAGAATATGAAGGTGATTTATAATGTAGATACTTTGTTCTTAGTGTTAATAAAGTGTTTTCTTTCAAACTCAGTTTTTTATTTTGCTCATGTTCTAGTGTTACGAGAATAAAACCTATACCTCAGAAAAATAAAGAGAAAGCACTTTGATATTCTTTTATTAAACTGAAAGTAGAGATGACATACATGTGTAAGAAGAGGAGACAGAAGAGTTAGCACTATTCTTCTAACTTGACATTGTGGCCCTGGCCTCTGCACTTTCTGACTTTTCCTTCCAACCTTGCTAAAGAGATGGGAAGTATAGGATACCTTTCTTTATGTGTTTCCCACAGTCAAACTTGGAATAGTTGTCAGGATCAGGTTCAAATTTAAGCTGGTGTTCATAACTCTACATAATTGATCAACGACCTGCCCTTCAATCTTCCTGCAGCCCACTTCTCTTGCCAGTCATCTTCTGCTGTTTTCTCCATCCCTCAAGTGGGCCTTGTTCCCTGTTTCTGCACCGAGGCAGATGCCTTTGTTGTATCTCTTGTTTGTTTGTTTTTGTTGTTGTTGTTATTTGATCGTTTTTATCCACATCCTATGTGTCATTAGAGATTAATTTTCTCCACTTCTCATTTTAGTTCTTCTCGGTGTCCAAATGGGGATTATTGTTCCAATAGACGGTTTCAGAGAAAACAGCATGCAGATGTGGAAGTCATACTCACAGAAAAGAAAGGCTGGGGCTTGAGAGCTGCCAAAGACCTTCCTTCGTAAGTTATGTCTTAATCCTCTTTCACTTTATTTTTGTATCGTTGAAGTTGGTTAGCTACTTTGTAGGAAAATAATGTGTTTGTTACACTGAAGTTTAATAAAGTTTAATAATGATTATTCTGAGGTTGCCTGGGTAGCTCAGTTGATTAAGCGTCTGCCCTTGACTCAGGTCATGATCCCCAGGTCCAGGGATCAAGTCCTGAGTCGGGCTCCTTGCTCACTGGGGAGTCTGCTTCTCCCTCTGCCTTCCGCTTCCCCTGCTTGTGCTCTCTCTCTCTCTCTGACGAGTAAATAAATAAAAAAAAAATTTTTAAGCTTTTATTTATTTATTTGTCAGAGAAAGCACATAAGCAGGCAGAGTGGCAGGCAGAGAGAGAAGCAGGCTCCCTGCTGGACGAAGGAGCCCGATTTGGGACTTGATCCCGGGACTCCAGGAGCATGACCTGAGCCGAAGGCAGCTGCTCAACCGACTGAGCCACCCAGGTGTCCCTAAAAATTTTTTTTAAAAAGAAAATATTTTCAATTGTTTCCTAAAGCTCTTTAGCCTTTCTAAGCTTTTCACAAAGAACCCTGCTTTGGTAAAATACCCTAGCACTGAATGTTTCCAGATTTCCCGTATTTTCCTACTCATATAATTTCCATATGCTGATGGTAGTGTCAGTTTCATGCTTTAGTTCCAAACTATTTAGATCTTCACTGGTAGATTATTCCTGTCGAAGAGGACATATTGTGAGATATGCACAGGGTGAGGAAGGCTTTGGAGCTAATCTGCTAGTTAGTTACTGTTAAATACCATGACATTCCCTGTGTATAGTATACTCCTTTCTTCTCCAGTACTGAAGATACTAAATAACCAAGGAAAGACCAGTCAGGGTTGGAAGGTATCTGAGAGACGCCAAGAAGAGTGATTAATCAGGAGTATTGATAGATACTAGAGAAAACTCACAGAGGATGTTGTGAGAGAAAAGGTCTATTTGACCTTTAACATCTTCAGAGACCTTTGAATCAAGGCAGTAGAAGCGCCGCTATATTTAAATTGCCATCTTTTTTCTTAGGCATAAAGCCTTTAATATTTCAGTGCCTCCTGATTTCCTCAGAGCTGTTTCTTAGCTGTAAATCACTGTTTTCATGATTATAAACCAGACTTGAGTGTTTGTTTTAGTATCTGGTTAGATCAGGAATACATATTTTGGTAGTATGTATAAATGTAAAAGTGTCTTATAATCAACATTTTTTGGAAAAATATTAGGAAGGAGAAATCCTCAGTTAGATGCTAGGTACTTTATATATATTTTGTATGATACCAAATTTATCCACTTACATTTTATTAAATGCATTATTTTTACAGGGATGTATGTTTTCCATAAAGCTCCTAGGCAGGAAGTGCTATTGTTTCCCCTTTGTTTTGCCAGGAACACCTTTGTGCTAGAATATTGTGGAGAAGTACTTGATCATAAAGAGTTTAAAGCCCGGGTAAAGGAGTATGCACGGAACAAAAACATCCACTACTATTTCATGGCCCTGAAGAATGATGAGGTGAGCAGCATGAATGTGTTTGCTTTGAAACAGATCCGGATATTGTTGAGTTTGAAAGCGTCATTGAACGGACAGATTTTTAAAAGATATTAAATGACAAAAAAGAGGAGCAGAATAGTATATATAGTTTTTGTTTATAAAAAGAGTGGGAGAGGGAGATATTTACATATATAGGCAAATGTAAACATACATGTTTCATATTATAACTCTTAAAAATGACTGGTATCTCCAAAGAGGTTTATTTTTTTTTTGATGTGGGTTTTGTCAATACTTAAATAAAAATTAAAGCTGAGAAATAGAAAGATACTTACTAAACCACTGAAAAGCAACAAGCCCCATTATACGTTGACATAAATGTTTTTATGAAAATAAAGCATTTTCAAATGATTTGTGTTTTAAACGTGAGTACCATTGTTTTACATTTTTACAAATCTCTTTAATGTCTGGTATAATAAAATTTAGCTAGATTCTCATATCTGTCTCTTTATTCAGTCCTGGAAAACCTAATTCTAGGTCCTACCCCAGCACCTGTTGAATCTATTTCTAAGGGTGGGTCCAGCAGGAATTTTAACAAGCTCTCTGGGAATTCAGATAGACACTGTAGTTTGAGAGCTCCTGCACTGTGGTATAATATGCACTTTAAAATGGAGTTTTGTACATGAGAAATGAGATTGGAATATAAGAGGGTATAAGAAGTAGCTAAAAGTAAATGGAAGAATTATTGGTGGATATGGAGATAATTTTGCTTATAAGTAAGATGTTTATGGTTAGCAGATCTCCTAGAGGAGGCCGTTGGATATATGTCTCTTGGATGTGTCTATACATAAAAGAGGAGGAGGGATTGGAAATATAGGTCGTACATTTGCCTAGTGCCTTTCCTTCACAAAATATACATGTATTTTATAGTCTCATTTCTAACTCTTAAAATGATCCTTTTCCCTAGATAATAGATGCCACTCAGAAAGGAAACTGTTCTCGTTTCATGAATCACAGCTGTGAACCAAACTGTGAAACTCAAAAAGTAAGTTGAGGTAGATTTAGAGTTTGGGATATTTGTTCAAGATTGCTGTTCTCTTGGGGCACCTGGGTGGCTCAGTCATTAAGCATCTGCCTTAGGCTCAGATCATGATCCCAGGGTCTTGGGATCAAGCCCCTGCATCGGGATTCCTGCTCGGCAGGGAGCCTGCTTTCCCCTCTCCAACTCCCCTGTGCTTGTATTCCCTCTCACTATTTCTCTCTGTCATAAATAAATATAAATCTTAAAAAAAAAAATTGCTGTTCTACATTAAGGGTACCTGTGGATTTTATTTTTTCAATCATTTGAATTGTTTTTTTCCTACTCTATTGTTAAAAATCTTATTTTGAAATAAGTTTAAGTATATAAAATAGTGCAGAAACAGTATAGAGTTCCATATGCTTCACTTAGCTTCCCCAAATGCTCACATTGTATATAACCATTATACAGGTACCCAATCCAAGAAATACTATTAACTGTTAACTAATCTAAAGTCTTTATTCAGATTTTGTTATCTCTCATTTTTTTCTTGACTAGGAGCCAATCCAGGAACTCCCATTGCATTTAATTGTCACTTCTCTTTGCCCATAAATTTTTATCTATTTTTTTTTTTAAAGATTTATTTGATAGAGAGGGACACAGTAAGAGAGGGAATACTAGCACGGGGAGTGGGAGAGGGAGAGGGAGAAGCAGGCTTCCCACCGAGCAGGGAGCCTGATGTGGGGCTCAATACCAGGACCCTGAGATCATGACCTGAGCCGAAGGCAGATGCTTAGCGGCTGAGCCACCCAGGCGCCCTAATTTTAGCTGTTATTTCAAGGTACCAAACTGAACTTTAATTTTGATGAAGTCCAGCATGTACTATTATATTCAGATTTTTATCAGCTCTTATCCAGGTGCCAAAGTTGGCTGTTTTAATAACATAAGGAGCTGAATAGCCACAGATGAGAAGGATTATATGTGATACACATGTGGTTACACTGCTTCTCCTCAACAAGGCTATGCTCTGGGTCTTGCTCATCTCGATGTCCCTATGCCTGGCACATAGTTGACACTTGATAAATTCATTTATTGAATTTGTTTTTGAGCTTAGATGAAACAATATATATGTTAGAACATTGGTTCTTTTTTAGGCTAAGAAGGCTATGGACCTGCTCCCTAGAGAAGTAATGGTTCTCAATTCATATTAATGGTTCTCAATCAATGGTTCCATTTCATATTAGAATAGTGTTTTTTTTTTTTTTTTAATTTTTTTTGTCTTTTGAATCTGTGTGCTAATAGATCTTAGATATGGCTCTTCCAAGAGCCAAGCCATATAATAAATAGGAGAACCCAGTCCATAATCATTTAACCAAAATTCTGGTTCTAGTTTTGCCTGTAGCTGGTGGCCACACGTCTAACTGTGAGACTCCAGGTGTACTCTGTCCCTTTATCTCTTTAAGTCTGGGTTTTTTCATCAGTAACATGTTCACATGGTCTGGACAGGAGCTCTATAGTTGACTTATATCTTACATGTTCTGGAACTACAAGTTCTAACCCCTGTGTATTTAGTCCCATTTTATTTTATTTTATTTTAAAGATTTTATTTATTTATTTGACAGAGAGAAATCACAAGCAGGCAGAGAGGCAGGCAGAGAGAGAGGAGGAAGCAGGCTCCCCGCTGAGCAGAAAGCCCGATGCGGGGCTTGAACCCAGGACCTGGGATCATGACCTGAGCCGAAGGCAGTGGCTCAACCCACTGAGCCACCCAGGCGCCCCTATTTAGTCCCATTTTAATTTTTGAGTTTCATGCAGCTGTTCTCATGCTTTCCTTCCCTTTCACTACACTGAGTCATATGACCACCAGTTTTTGTTGAAATTAAACATTTGGCATCATTATTTACATGGTTCCATGCTCCATTTTATCTTAGAATACAGTTACTTTTTTTTTTTTTTTTAAGATTTTATTTATTTATTTGACAGATAGAGATCACAGGTAGGCAGAGAGGCAGGCAGAGAGAGAGAGGAGGAAGCAGGCTCCCTGCTGAGCAGAGAGCCCGATGCGGGGCTCAATCCCAGGACCCTGGGACCATGACCTGAGCTGAAGGCAGAGGCTTTAACCCACTGAGCCACCCAGGCGCCCCAGAATACAGTTACTTTTAACATAAGGTAGTACCAATTGGCCTATAATTATAGTCAGTGATGCCAAGCATTCCCTATTTGTCTGTTTTTAGTACAAGTGAATATTTACTCTGTGGAAATGTATATTATACAAATTAAAGTAGCAGTTGCTTTTATTAGAGATAAATTATAGATGATGGTATTAAGTAAGAGTAACAAATACATTTATTTTAAAAGAAAGTTCCCTATTTGCTATTTGGAAAAGCTTTTATTGTCTAAAGGCACATTCATAATTAAGGCAGATGAGGATCTTTAAAGAAAAACACACAGATTGAGACATCTGGGTGGCTCAGTCGGTTGAGTGGCTGCCTTCAGCTCTGGTCATGATCCCAGCGTCCTGGGATCAAGTCCCACATCGGCTCCTTGCTCAGCAGGGAGCCTGCTTCTCCCTCTGCCTCTACCTGCTACTCTGTCTGCCTGTGCTCTCTCTCTCTGACAAATAAATAAAGTCTTAAAAAAAAGAAAAAAAACACACAGATTAATCAGTTACTAATTTCTTTTCTTTTAAAACCAACATCTCAGTGGACTGTGAACGGACAACTGAGGGTCGGGTTTTTTACCACCAAACTGGTTACTTCAGGCTCAGAGTTAACATTTGACTATCAGTTCCAAAGATACGGGTGAGTATTGTTTTGATTCTGTTTTGCTGCTTCTGATGGGGCAGTAGACTGTTCAGATATAGAGATATAAAACTTTGATGTGAACTACTAAAAAGTTGTATGTGCCTCCAGGTCTTTACTCTTTCAGTTTTGTGTGTTTTTCCTACTGTATGACATTTGTGGACGTTAAGGGATTTATGCAGGAACTGTATAATCTTCCTCTGAATTCTATGCTGTCTTATTTATATAATTATGTTCCATATGTAATTTTAAAAAAACCCTTTTTATTATAGAAATGTCTAGTGTGTTTGTGCATGTAAAGAGAATATAATATAATCTCTGTGTATCTATCATTTATCTTTTTGTTACCAGCTCATGACTAATTTTTTCTGATCTCTACTCATTGTACTGTGAAAGATAATTTACTTGTTCTCTCTAGCCAAAATAATAACTGATGCAGTAGCAGTGAATACCCCTAGCATCTATGTTGTGGTTTCATAGAACCCCACTAAAAGGAACAGGGTTCCTTGGAGGAGTGTTGATTTCAGGTTAAGACAGAAATTGAACAAGGTGATCTTGGATTATTTTGTTGTGTCAGAAAACCAGTTATAATAGTTGAGAGTCCTGTCAAAGGAACTTGGAGCTAGCTTGAATAGGCTCTCATATTAGTGAGAGAGTTCTCATTAACACTTAAGCATCAATAAGGATAATAACTACGGTGATTTGAAACTTACTATGTAAAACCCATGAGATTTAATGATACTTTAAAAATAAAACTGCATTAGTTATAATAGAAGGGAACCGATTTATGATTTTTTTCCCATGTTTTAGATATTTTTTATTGTGGAAAATGTCACATAACATTAAGTTCACCTTTTTAACTTCTTAAAGTATACAGTTTAGTAGTACAGTCATATTTTGTACAGCTATCACCACTGTCTAGTTCCAGAACATTTTCAGCACCCCAAAAGCAGACCCCATATGTATTAACAAGCTCTCATGCCCTATTTCCCCCTTTTCTTAGCCCCTGGCAAACACTAATCTACTTTCTATATCTGTGGATTTTTCTGGATGTTTCACATATGTGGAATCATGCCAATGTGGTCCTTTGTGACTTCATTTAGAAAACATTCAATGTTTTCAAGGTTCATTCATGTTGTAGCGTGTACCAATATTTCATTCCTTTTTAATGGCTAAATAATATTCCACTGCATGTATGTACCGTATTTTGTTTTTACATTCATATGTTAATGCACATTTGGGTGGTTTCCACTTTTTTGCTATTGTGAATAATGCTGCAGTGAACATTGGTGAATCAATCAATTCATGATTTTTAAAAAGTAGTTTAAAAGTTTAAAAAGGGGAAAAAAAAAGAGTCAAGCATTTATCCTGCCTTCCCCAAGTGAATTCTGCTTTAGATTAAACCAAATAGTTGATGAGAAGAAGTTCTTCTCTTGGAGGTCATTTCAGCTAATAAATGAAGTAGTAACAGTATCAGCGTTTTGCAGCACCTCATGAACTAATGGATCTAGGCAGTCAGTGGTATAGCAGTCACGGGATGAATCCAGACCACGTTGTATGTAGGGCTCTGTATTTTTTTCCTCTTATGTTTGCACTGTCCTCTTTGAAGGAAAAGGTACTAGAAATACTAGAAATCAAGTGTTTGTGATGTCCTGCTCTATTTATTGAATGATTTATTTTTATGCCTTTGATTACTGCTGTCATAAACTGAATCTATCAGTTTAGTATAGTTTTTCATGCTTTTCTCAAGTCACAGAATAAATGGCTGTGATGGTTTGTACCCAAGCTTGTAGACTAGGCCTGTATTCTTTCCACCACTTTTCCTTGACTCCGTTGTAGTAGTTACTTCTTAACAATGTTTCTTATTAGTATCTCATCCTTATGTGGTAACTTTTACATGTTTCCTTTTAAATAACCTGGACATACTGAATTTTATATCTGTGTATATGTATTTATAACAGTATGTCTTGTTTATTCTGTGTGCCTGTTACATTTACATATAAGAGATGTTGAACTATTTAAGCAGTTTTGTTCTCAGCTCAAATGTGTATATGCTCTTTTATTTTTATATATTAGTAGGTACTCGCAAAATGAAGAAATTTCTCATTAACTTCTTGACTGATTTTAATAAGGGAAGGTTGGAAAAAGAATGAATATTTTTTAAGAGCAGTTTTCAGGCATTTCCTTTAAATAGTACCAGGTTTGTTGGAGTCTCTTAAAATAATTACTTGTTTTAGGCTGAATAGACTTCTCTTTCATATGTGATTGTTATATTGCTGACATTTTTTATGGTTTACTTTCACATAACATGTTTCCTGTGCCCTTTAAACAGAAAAGAAGCTCAGAAATGTTTCTGTGGGTCAGCTAATTGCCGAGGTTACCTGGGAGGAGAGAACAGAGTCAGTATCAGAGCAGCAGGAGGAAAAATGAAGAAGGAGCGGTCCCGTAAGAAGGATTCAGTAAGTGTTTTGTTCTTTCTTTAAATTTTTACCATGTATGTTTTAAGAAGGGAGGTAGCTTTTCTGATTGAAATTTGAAAAGTCAAACTACAAACAGAGAAAGTCAGGATCAGATGAGATAATCAGGAAAAGAAGTATGGTTGCTATTTTTATTTCCGGTTCATAGAGATTAGAATTAGGTACAGAGAACTATTGAAGTCATGTTGTAAAACTCATGGGCTAATAGTTTTTTTGGGGCCTGTAAAACTTCTAATCCTAAGTACAAATAAAATGTTTATCTACTAGCTTACTTAAGTCTGATCTACATTCCTAATCGTTTCATAGTGGTTTGTTTTTTTGTTTGGAACTCTTAAAAGTTTGCAAATGTTCTTACAATCTCTGAAAACCCTCTTTGGAGTATAAGGTGAGTTTTGAGAGGTGACAGGCAACCAAAGAGTGAGAATGGAATCGTGAAGGTAGTCTTTTCATTTACTATATTAGCATAGTAATTAATGGCCTTTTTTATACCTCAGCTCACCTCAGTTATACTGGAGGAAGGAGTTATCTTGTTAATAAAGGGACTCTTGCCTGGGACAAGGGCTTTGTGTTGTTGTTGTTGTTGTTTTTTTAATCCCCCCTCCCTTTTTCTGAGAATCCCTACACCAAAACAGTATTTCTTAGCCTCAGAATCACCTGGCAGGGCCCTTAATGAAAATGCACATTCCTGGGTCCATCCCCAGACTTATGAATCCTAGTGGAGGGCTAGGAGCAGGAGCTAGGGGTCTAAAGGGATTAATCAGCAAATTCCCCTATGATTGTTTAGCAGCTAGCTCATGCCATGGCTTTTCTTATAAATGGCTGCATAGATTAAGTATAAATTATTGTTTAGATGAGGAGATAGAAGATGTATTGGGACAAAGGGATAAAAGTGTAATGGTTAAAAGGTGATGTCAGTAAGCCCAAATTAATTGGAGAGAATTAATTATGGAACATCTGAATTCTGTAAGGAGATATAGATAGCAAAAAGCATTGGAAAGGGCAGTTGAAAAATTTTAAAAGCCCTTTTAAAAAGTACCAAAAGGAAAGTTTCAACAAATACCACCCAAGATGAATGCGTTCTTTAGAGTATTGTGTATGCTTTAGCTGTCCTTTTTGGAGAGCATATGTACCATAATGGTCTGCCAGGCACTCTGCTAAGTACTTGACACATTAACTCATGTAATTCTCACAATAAGCCCTGAAATTGGGTACAAGGATTTTTTTTTTTTTTTTTTTTTTTTTTTTTAAACAGATGAGAACATTAAGGTATCACCTAGTAGGTAATGGAAGTGAACTAGCTCTTGTCTTTGCTCTTAACCGTTATGTTGCACTGCAGATTGTGGAGAGTAGTTCCATCCTCTTCCAACTCAGACAGTTGTGGTCATAACAACCAATGTTTCTGTGTGCTAGAAAATAAATTTTAAAATTTATTACATTGTTTTGTTTAGAGTTTTAGAAATGGTATAATATGTTTATTTCTGCAATTTGTTTTTTTTTTACTCTTTATTTTAAAATTTGATCCACATTGATAAATATGTAAACATATTTTTAACTACTATTAAGTTTTTCATCATATGAGTTTATTATATATAGTCCTTCTAATGAACACTAGTGTTTTTAAGCTTTTGCTCTTCCTGTCACAGCATCTGTACATGTTTCTGTAAGGTATATCCATGGAAGTGGAGTCACTGGGTCCTAGCTGATTAGCCTTCTTTTTTCTTTTTTTTAAAGATTTTATTTATTTATTTGACAGATCACAAGTAGGCAGAGAGGCAGGTAGAGAGAGAGAGAGGGAAGCAGGCTCCCTGCTGAGCAGAGAGCCTATGCGGGACTTGATTCTAGGACCCTGAGATCATGACCTGAGCCAAAGGCAGAGGCTTAATCCACTGAGCCACCCAGGCGTCCCCCCTGCCCCCCCCCCCCGTTAGCCTTCTTGACTTTGACTGTTGGAGGAAATTTTTCTCTAAACTCCATTAATATTGCTTTTATTTTTAACTCTCCTTTTCTTTTCTTCTTTTTTTTTTTTTTTTAAAGATTCTATTTATTTGGTAGAGAGAGACACCAAGAGAGGGAACACAAAGCAGGGGGAGTGGGAGAGGGAGAAGCAGGCTTCCCGCTGAGCAGGGTGCCCGATGTGGGACTCGATTCCAGGACCCTGGGATCATGACCTGAGCCGAAGGCAGACGCTAAAGGACTGAGCCACTCAGGCGCCCCAACTCTCATTTTCTTTGATAGTTTATCAGAATAGCCACAAAATAGTCATTAAACATGTTGACCTATGCTAAAATCTTCATAAAAACTTCCCTTTGGCTATCTCCTATTCTCAAAGCTTACAGAATAAACATTTCTTAAAAACTGTATTATTGGTGGGGAGTATCCTTATAATGTGATGGTTTCTTAGGCAGTGTTATAACTCCATCATACCATTACCAGATGGCTTTCCTTTTTTTTTTTTTTTTTTTAAGTTTTTATTTATTTGACAGATCACAAGTAGGCAGAGAGGCAGGTAGAGAGAGAAAGGAAGGGAAGCAGGCTCCCCACTGAATGGAGAGCCCGATGCGGGGCTCGATCCCAGGACCCTAAGATCATGACCTGAGCCGAAGGCAGAGGCTTTAATCCACTGAGCCACCCAGGAGCCCCCAGATGGCTTTCTGTCTGATAAGATTCAGGAACAATTCCAGTGCACCAAGTGTAGGCATTCCTTTGTTTGCTTGTGTTTATTTTGATTATGGTGTGTCAGTATCAGTATAGGCTTTGGCATTATAGACTAAATTAGGTGTAACATGAATCCAGTCATCATGGGTTGCCCCAGGTATGAATTTGATGTTATTCTGGAATAGAATGCTGTAGCTAAAACTTTGGCCAGATAGAGGAATGAGCCAGAACGATTTTAGATTCCTAGGAGGGTTATTTGCCCTGCCGATAATGAAGAGTTGAACTCTAGTTTACTTTTTCTTGGATTGTTGCCCTCTGAAATTCCCTTTTGCATGCCTAGATTCTGAATTTTAGTCAGCTATAGTTGAGAGTCTTGGGAATTCTTTTGGGTAGAGGATGCTATGGAGAGGACAAGATAGGACAGTTTAAAATGTAGTTTTGCATATTTTAATTATTAAGAAGAGTATGTTAATAGTACTATAGTCTACAACCTCCATATCAGCCCTTGATTGGTAAACATTTTTTTTATTTCTTGCTCTTATGATTGCATCTTTATATAGTCATCTCCTTAACAAAGCTAAAAGCTCTTCCAATTGAAGTTGGTTGTCTTTTTTGGGGATGTCACAAACCAGGTAACTAATAACCTAATGTATTTTACTAGGTAACTAAATACTTAGCTGATGGAAATATATTAAGTCCCTATAACCTGATGATATTTGTAGTTTGTGAAGTACAAGCAGGAAATAGTCTGAAACTTCTCTTAGTCTCTTTTGAGTTTGTGAAACTAATGATAACTAATTTACACAATAAAGAGGGTGAAAAGGTACATACTTGCTTTCAACACAAAACAAGTATTAATATCTAAAGTATATAGAGCATTCCTACTAATTAATAAAGAAAAAGCCAGCACAAAGGAAGAATAAAAAGACACCATCCAGACACTTCACTAATCCAAATAACCAATAAACATAGAAAGATGTTCAACCTCATTAGGAATCAGGGCAGTATCAGTTAAAGCTATCAGGTGTCATTTACATGCCTATCAGATTGGTAAAAAGTCTGATGACTTGTAAGAACAGGATCTCCTACACTGCTTGGGGGCTGTAAATGGGTACAGCTGCCTTTTTTTTTTTTTTTTTTTTAAGATTTTCTTTATTTGTCCTAGAGAGGGAGAGAGTAGAGCATGCCAGGGTGGGGAGTGGCAGGCAGAGGGAGAAAGAGCAAGGAGCCTGATGCTGGACCCGATCCCAGGATCATGACCTGAGCTGAAGGCAGACGCTTAACTAACTAAACCACCCTGGCATCCTTGGGTGCAACCACTTTTGAAAACACTTTGGAATTAATTACTGGAAGTGAATGGATATGTATCTAGAGTCACAGCAGCATTGCTTATATTAGAAAAAGTAGAAACAACTCAAATATCCATTAACACTAATATAGACAATTTATAATGTAATCCTAGACTTAAAAATTTGTCATGAAAGTGAAGGACTAGGGCTCCATGCAACAGAACGGAGGACTTCTAAAATGTAAGGATGAAACACAAGCATGACAAAAGTTTTGTCCAGTATAATTTCCAGAAAGATTTAAAAAATAGACAAAATTAAATTATAATATTTAGGGTTTTGTATAGATGATAAACCTATTTTAAAAATAATGATTTTCTAAAAAAGTTAGGAGATGTTATCTCAAGAGCAAAGAGGAGGTATTATAAGAAGGGGAGGGCACATGGAGCACTTCAGGGATGCTGGCAATGTTGTCATCCCCCCGGCCTTATCACATGCATGTTGATTTTATGGATAATGCTCACCTGTTTGTTAAACTTACTTGTTTACAAATCACTTATATACTTCTATGTGTACTGTATTTCATCGGGAAGTAATAAAAATACTGCTTAGACCAATTAAAGATGGTTGATGGCCAAAATACTAAAGTATTAAAAAAGAGTAAATTAGGGGTACCTGGGTGGCTCAGTTGGTTAAGCATCTGACTTTGTCTCAGGTCATGATCCCAGGGTTCTGGGATCAAGCCCTGTACAGGACTCCTTGCTCAATGGGGAGCCTGATTCTCCTTCTCCTTCTCCCTACCCCTCCCCTGTTCATTCTCTCTCTCTCTCTCTCTCTCTCTCTGACAAATAAATTAAATCTTTAAGAAAAAAAAGTAAATAATTTCTTGGACTGATTAAGCACTTAACAGAATAAATTTTTAAATGCTATAGAATTTTGCATTTTTGTATATATAAATGTTCATGTATCAGTAATTAAAATATACCTTAACCATTTTTATACTTTCATATTGATTTTTTTTTTAAGATTTTATTTATTTATTTGACAGAGATCACGAGTAGGCAGAGAGGCAGGCAGAGAGTTGGGGGGAACCAGGCTCCCTGCTGTACAGAGAGCCTGATGCAGGGTTCGATCCCAGGACCCCGGGATCATGACCTGAGCTGAGGGCACAGGCTCTAACCCACTGAGCCACCCAGGCGGCCCATTCATGTTGATTTTTAGTTACTTCAGATCCTTTCCGGAAGGTGGTGATACATAAATTAAAAATAAGTACTTCTAGTAAATGTAGATTAATGAAAGCAATCAGTTGGCCTCCTGGCTCCCTTCCTCCCAGGTATCCTAAAAGCTATTAATCCCACAATTCACAATTGATTGTCCACTTGAGTACCCAAAATTATGGACACTGTATCATACATAGGATTGGCATGATAACTTTTATGTATGTCAGTACAACCACTAAGCTCATAATTGTAGTGGGAGGTTCAAAGGTTATTCAGTTTCTGTATTTTGTTTGCAAAATTTTGTTATTTTTACTTCAGTTTCTGCAGGTTTACTGTTTATTTCCTTAAGAAAGAATGCTACTGTTTTTATTTACCAGTGGAGTTTTATATACTGTAGTGTCTATTCAATAAATGTTTATTAAATTAAAAACTTAAGAACTCAGTTTTATCTCTTAAGTATTCAGAGTTAGAGAGGCCTTTCCTGGCTAATTATGAAAAGAAAACCCTACCTCTCTCTCTTCTTTTAAAAATATTTATTTATTTTGGTGGGGGCAGTTACAAATAGACTGCCTTGGTTGCAGAGCCCCATGTGGGGCTCAATCTCAGGACCTGAGATCATGACCCAAGCTGAAATTCAAGAGTCAGGGGCTTAACTGAGCTACCCAGGTGCCCCAGAAAACCCCATCTCTTAGCCCAGTAGTATTTGTGTCTCAAAACTTTGTCCAAAGTGAGGTTCTGGCTGTTGCACTTGGGGAAAAGTGGAATTTTAAAGCCCTTGGTCTTTCCTATTCTAATCCTCTAGAATTTAAGACACAGGAGGTTTACGTTTAGGATATGCAGGGGAAAACCATCATTAAGGAAATTGTCCTGAATTAATGTTTAACCATAAACTGGTTTTTCTGTATATGTCCTTAATCTATTCAAAACATAAGTGATACTGGAAATGAAAAAGAAATGAGCCTTAAGTGTACATTTTAGAAGGAAAAAAGTGAGTTTACATTTCTTCAGTCTTGTAAGTAGCATTTCATGTTTTCTTATTTTTGTTCCTTAGAGTTATGTGATTTTTGTGGTATAATATAAAATAGAAATGTTTAGTGCCTTGCCTAAAATTATGTTGAGATGATAAAAAGTTAAGTAACAGAAAATTTCCTTAAGGGATGCCGGGTGACTCAGTCAGTTAAGCCTCTGCCTTCCGCTCAGGTTATGATCAAGTCCTTGGTCGGGCTTCTTGCTCAGTGGGGAGTCTGCTTCTCCCTCTGCCTGCCACCCTCCCTGCTCATGCTCTTAATCTCTCTCTGGCAAATAAATAAATAAATAAATAAAAATCTTTAAATAAAAGGAAAATTTCCTTAAGATTCTTGTCTTTTAGGGGCGCCTGGGTGGCTCAGTGGGTTAAGCCTCTGCCTTCGGCTCAGGTCATGATCCCAGGGTTCTGGGATCGAGCCCTGCATCTGGCTCTCTGCTCAGCGGGGAGCCTACTTCCCTTCCTCTGTCTCTCTGTCCGCCTCTCTGCCTACTTGTGATCTCTATCTGTCAAATAAATAAATAAAATCTTTAAAGAAAAAAAAAAGATTCTTTTGGATTTGCTTTCCTCTAATTTATTATCAGTGCATTCTAGAATTTTATCATTTCAGGCCATATTGGTTTACTGCTGTCTTTATATCTCTTCTGTGTTAGTTGCTGTCTTGTGTAATTTTATTCTGTTATTGCCACACTACTTATTCTCAAATTCCATGTTGATCATATTATTCCCCTTTTTGGGTTCAGTAATGGAGCTTTCTTGCTCATTCACATCAAATACAGATTCTTTTACATAACACCTCCAAGATCTTCTGATCAAACACCAGCCTTCCTTTTGATGAGGTTTTTCTTACTTCCTCACCATACCTTATCTGCTCCAGCCTGGCCAAGCTGGCACTATCACAATTTTCCATTTCCCTATGCTCAAGATTTTACTTCACTCCCTCCTTTATCTTACCTGTTGCTAGCCCTGCTTCTGGTGACTCTCATTCTAACCACTCCCTTCCTTCATAGTTTTTTAACATTTTACAATTAATGCTTTATTATTTGTTTTCATATGAATTTTATCTCCCCAATAATAAGTTCTGTAAGGTATCTTTATATCTTTTGTAAGACAGCTGGAAAACAACCATTGGTGGGTTTTTTGTTGTTGTTTCCCATTGTTTAAATGTAATATTTGAAACTTCCAGAGAAATTATATATGTTACAAGGCATAATTATAAAAGAACCACTTGTGAGCACTTCTCTCCTTTGTGCTCCCTGCTTAGCCCCTAGAGGATACCACTGTTTTGAATTTTGTGTCATACCTCCATTGCCTTTTTAAAATTGATTTTTCAGGCATGCATCTATGAAAATTTTGTTTTTGAGGTTTATATAATCAGAGTCATACAGCATGTAATCTTCTGGAACTTTTTTCATGTAACATGTTCATAAGATTGATGAATCTTGTTGCATTGGGCTGCACTTGATTCCTTTCACTGTGCTATAATAATCCATTGTATGAAAATGCTAATTTATATAACCTGGCCACAGACATTTGTTAACAGTTCTTTGCTATTACAGTGGTCATTCAGTGAGCTTGGTATAACATGTGTCTAGAAGTATCTTTACGATTTATTCTTAGGTGTGCAGTGCTACGCATAGGGGATACAAATATTTTATTTTTGAAGCCAGTGCTTTATTTCTTCTGGCATACTTTTCACCTAACATTAATTTGCTCTGTCTCCTGTAAGAGTAGATTTTTGTTTGTTTTGGTTCATATGCAGTGACTTTAGCACCTAGGATTATACTTGACATATAATAAGTACTTGGTTAATATTTGATGAGTGAATGAAATGCTTTTCAAATTGATCGTACCAGTTTTTACTTTCATCAACAGCAAAAATTCCTTTTGATCTACATCTTTGCCTAGATTTGATATTATCAGACTTAATTTTTTTCCCCAGATTAACCTAGTAAATATGACATGATTTCCCACTGTGGGTCTAATTGTGTTTTCCTTATCACTGGCAAGGTTGAGCATCTTTTTAGGTTGTTTGATTCTTAGATTAGTGGCACATTTGTTGTTGTTTTTATAACCAGATACTTTTTCTTTGCTATGGCAGGTGGATGGAGAGCTAGAAGCTCTGCTGGAGAACGGTGAGGGTCTCTCTGATAAAAACCAGGTGCTCAGCTTATCTCGGCTAATGGTTAGAATTGAAACCTTGGAACAGAAACTTACCTGTCTTGAGCTTATACAGGTGAGTTCTTTGATATTAATTTATTTTTTGTTTCTGAATTTGAGTTGGGGCATCTAAAGTGCAGTTTAGAATGATGGCAGGAGAAGGGATAACTCTGAGAAGAGTTACTCTTATTTTTAAAATGGTTTGAAAATTCTATATGACTTTGAAAGTTTGTACTCTTAAAAATGTCGAGTTTGGCATCATTTAGTTTTTTAGTAGCTCTTGTTTGCTTTCTCTCTCTAGCCAAAGAGCATGGTGGGATTTTTTTTGTTTAACAGTTCATGACATTTGATATAGTCCCCCCTATGATTATTAGTATGCCAAGGCCATTTTTACCACAGGACCTTGAAGCAAGGAATTTTAATGATAATCTCGTTTACTCCAGTTTATTAAGTATGCCACAAGAAGTTGAACAATTTTAAAAAAAGGATGATTTAAAAGAAAACTAAGAGAAAAAAGCCTTTTGAAAAAACATCTGAATGGAAGAGAGAAATGAAAATGATTTCTACTATTATAGTTTTAGGTTTTTCAATAAAAATGAATATAATTTGGTTCTTGGTCTTTCAGATTTGAATTTCATTGTAAATGACATATTGATGTTTGTTTTTCTGTAAAGTCTATTTATATAAAGTCCAAGTTGACTAGATACAATTTAGGTATCAAAAAAAGTTATAATTTCTTTAAAGCATTTATTTGTATACTTTTAGTTGCATTAATCACAATAGAGTTTCTAGGTAAAGTTTTGTGAATATAAACAGACTTTTTATTCCTCTCTGTGGACCCTTTTTAATGTTCTGTCTGGTATTGCCCACCCCCAACCCAATACCCTGCATCCTGCTTCCCTTCCCCCACGGAAGAACACACATTCACAGTCTTGCCTGAAGTCTTTTCTGGAACGTCATGGGCTGTCTTTGTTGTGGATTTGGATGGCAGAACTAGGTGATGGCCGGGAAAGTAACCAGAAGCTTCAGGAAGAGGTCAGTTCACAATCAACTTGCCTATTTCTTAAAACCGCCATATAGAGTGCTTAGGTTGAGTGATAATATGAGTAATAATGAATTTACCATCATAGTTACCATTGGAATGAAATAAATATCATCTCAGTGTCATTCCTATAGCTATAACCTTTTATGTAGACTTCGCTAGTAGTGAGTTTGCCCCATGGTTTTCCCTAAAGTATCCCTGTAGCTGAGACTGCGTAGTTGGGAAGTGCAAGAGCAAGATATCACATCATAGTTAAGTGAAGGATCTAGTTTGTTGCTAAAGCCATAGTTTTAAACGGGCAACCATGTGAAACTTATATTTGGGGGCTCTAAAAAATTGGTGAAGAGCTGAATTCTGGAATGGCAAGAGTAAGAACATTTTGAGGAATCAATAAGTGTTTTAAGATCTAAATAAGTGTTCCTTGGCAATGTCATTAGTGGAGTTGTGATATTTATACCTTCCCATGAAATAATATTTTTAATCTAGTTTAAATGTAGTTCTTTTTAATCATGGTTTCTAATATAATACTGAAGTCATTTAAAAATGCACTTTAAAAACAAAACAGAAGTGAGCAAGTAAGTGGTTGTCTTGCCTCCCTTCTTCTCCCAGGAGATTTGGCAATAAGTAGAAGTTGAGGAAGACTTGGAGTTTCTTCCTCCCTCCCTTCCTTTCTCCCTTTTTCCTGCCCCTCCTCATTCCTTTTTGTACAGATCTAGTTGACTTTATTAAATGATTCTATGAGTAATGATTAAATGAATTCAGCAGTATTCCATCTAGAAAGTAGAGAGGAACAACTTACTTTGGGGTTTCTGTAGATCTGCATTGGGGAGTACTTTGGAAGAAATTCTTGGATTTCAGAGTGGAGGGGATGGTTATCTCTGGAGAGAGAGTCTTTGTTAGCTGTTTATCAGAGGCTAAAAGAGGTAAGTAATAGCTGCATTTTTTGTGGGTGAAATATCTTTTAAATATATGTTGTTGCATAGTTCCCAAGCCTATATCACAGTCACTTGGAAAACTTTTTAGAAAAACATAGCCAGGATAAGGTCCACTAGTATATATATTTTAAAAGATCGACACAGGTTTGAGAACTACTGGTAGAAGATATTAATCGATCCTGTTTGATATTGGGAGCAGTTACCTGCTCTACATTTTATTCTTGCTGGTCAGTCTTTAAAAAGTTTTCTTTCCTTTTTAGAGGAAGCTAATATTATAACATTTAACCCTTTTGTAGTTATAGAGACTTAGGTCTTGATAAGACAGTAAAGAAAACCCACAGGTCTTTCAAAAATGATCTGAGTCCCAACCAGAGATTTGAAAAGTCAACTATATAGAGTGATGTGACTTTTTTTTTTTATTTGTTTAATCAGATTATAAAGACTTTGGAACACTTACCCATTCCTACTAAAAATATGTTGGAGGAAAGCAAAGTACTTCCAATTATTCAACGCTGGTCTCAGACCAAAACTGCCATTCCTCAGTTGAGTGAAGGAGATGGATATTCAAGTGAGAATACATCACGTGCTCACACACCACTCAACACACCTGATCCTTCCACCAAGCTGAGCACAGAAGCTGACACAGACACCCCCAAGAAGCTCATGTTTCGGAGACTTAAAATTATAAGTGAAAATAGCATGGACAGTGCTATCTCTGATGCTACCAGTGAGTTGGAAGGCAAGGACGGCAAAGAGGACCTTGACCAGTTAGAAAACGTCCCTGTAGAAGAAGAGGAAGAGTTACAGTCACAGCAGCTACTCACACAACAGCTACCTGAATCTAAAGTTGAGAGTGAAATCACTATGGAAGCCAGTAAGCTACCCACATCTGAACCAGAGGCTGACACTGAAATAGAGCCCAAAGAGGGCAGTGGCCCGAAACTGGAAGAAACCATTGCTGAGGAAACGCCGTCCCAGGATGAAGAGGAGGGTGTATCTGATGTGGAGAGTGAGAGGAGCCAGGAACAGCCAGATAAAACAGTAGATATAAGTGATTTGGCCACCAAACTCCTGGATAGTTGGAAAGACCTAAAGGTAAGAAAACATTTTTGTTTATTTTAACCTGAATTACTCACATCTAGAGTTCCACGAATCTTACGTTGAATTACCTACTTCTTTAGCTATACATCTATTTGAAAGATGGAATGCCGTCTCTCTTACTGACAGCTGATTATAAATGTCTCAGACATCTTTTAAACCTTGGCAAGAGATACAGCAGCCAAACTAATATACAGATATCCCCCTTTCTTCATTTAGAAAAGCATATCACAGCAGTGAATTCAGTTTTTCAAGTGCTCTTTACATTAAAAACAAAGCCAGAAATCCTTTGAGGAGCAAACGTGTGATTTTACGTTTGAAAATTCTTTGTAAGATCCTAGGTTAAAAAAAAAAAAAAAATGAATGTTTAAGTTGATTGGAAATTAATGTATTGCATTAATTAGAAATTAAAATTAAAAATTAAATGGAAAACCAAGGTAATTTAGCAACTTCTCATCAAAAATGATTGAACATAAATTTCTGTTCCAGTAAAATAACTTTATATGGAGGTAATTGGTATTCAGTTCCCCCGTTGTTTTTGAAATAGGCCTGCCGTTTAAATGCCTATTTCTTTGGACAAAAGATGTGATCTAGAGGAAAAATAGAGGGGTCTGGAACCCTTAACGCTTAATACATACATAATCTCTGGTTAAAGAATGTAGCAAGATGTGTAGGGTTTGCTCTATAGAAAACCCAGGCTGGGTCTTGGATAAACACAGAAGTGAGTAACAGGATGAGCCTAGAAGAGAGGTGTTACATTTTGATTGTAAGTGATCTGGATCTGGGGTTCAGGTCTTGAGGACCCCGTGGGACCAGGTTACTTGCTAGCTTCTGTTTTTCTGTTCCTCTCTTCTGCCAGAAGTAAAGCAGCCAAATAAATCAGCAGTGCTGGTTTATGTGCAGCAAGATGGACATCTGAATCCTCTCTGTCCCCAGTTATGACTACAAAGCTCACCCAGTAGATCCTGCAATTTGACCCATACGAAACTGGCCTTATACTGAGCAGAATGAGTAGTGGGTTGGTTGTGCACTGTGCTTACTTTCAGCATTTGTAATTTGCTGTGTTGAGACCCTTCTTTAAGTATTGTGTGGTTTCAGCTCTCATTGACCTATTCATGCTACTCTTTCTCACCACTTATAGTTTATCATTAACTCAACCTTATGAAATTCTTCCTTTTTATAAACTTTAGTAAAAGGAAGGATTCATAGTAAATTGGGTTATGATACGACATGTGAACTACAGGAACCAGAATTTCAGTTAAATTGAAAGAGATGCTGGGATGGTCATTTGGGTGAACCTTCATTTAAGGCCTGCTTTGTGAGGGCACAGGAGTCTGGAAGAAGTCCCTCTTGTGTTCAGAGACTGCTAGTAGAGCCTCTGGAATGACTGGCTTCATAAGGAAGGTGGGAATGGAAACACGAACATGAGTGGACACAGAAAGGCCTTACAGACATGATTTTATAGAGCAAGGGTCGGGGGCAGACCCAGTAGTACACTTCTGCCTGCTAAGTCTCTGGTTGACATAATTTTCAGAAATGAGACATAATCATCATTTCTTAAAAACCTGTCTTAAAATCTAGGAGAAGTAAGTACTTTTGTTTCTCTATGTGGTAGTTTTTATTGTCATGGTAGCGGTATGAATAACTCTCTGGGATATCCTTAACTCAGTTAGCTATAACTGGTCATTTAAACTCACACTCTAGACATTTTTGAGTCCTACAAACTTATTCCTTCCCCTGCTTGTCGTCCTCCCTCCTCCTATCTGAAAGATCAAAGCAGTTGCATAGTACTACGTAGTTTGATGATCCTCTTGATTTGAGGTTTAAAATTTTATTCATACTTTTAAAATATAGCCTTCTTAACCTTCATATTTTGGATTTGTCTGATTCTTAGCATCAAAGAAGCCATTAAATAAGATTTTCCTTCTTCACACTTCTATTTTGCTCTGGAATCATTACCCATCTAGAATTGGAATACTGAAAGAGGTTGTTACTTGACTGAACTGTGATGTTTTGTTACACATTGGTGCTGGGGCTCTTAATTCATCTGTCATTCTAATTAACATTTACCATGGTTCTAATTTCAAAACTCTGATTGTGGTTGTCCTTAAATAAAATATTTTAGCTAGCATTTAACCAGAACATTGAAATCAGAAACCTGTAATATGAACATGTCTTAGATAAACACATGGATTTGATGTGATTACTATATACCCATACTATCCCGGCATTGAAAGAGTTAACTACTTCTGTCTGACTTCCACCTATGTGTTCAAGTAGACATTGGCAGAAAAGAAAATGTCTTACTCAACCAACCTTTGTTAAGCACCTGTTGCCAAGCACTGTGTTAGTTGCTGATGTTAATTCCAAGATCATACTAAAAAGCATTGATCTAAGATTGTGGTTAGCCACTCCAAGCTTCCCTGACCTTCTGGGGCCACTGTAACGTTGTTGGACATGTGTTCCACTTGGCCTTTCTACACACTGGATGGAGTGAAGAACTGAAAGAGGTTGCTTCAGATCCTTAATCTTGATTTTTGCTGTGAAGGCAGACCGTAGGGATCATCAGTAAATGAGAGAGGGTGGGAGGGAAGGGAATGAAGCTTCATGAATTACTCTTTGTCCTCCCAGATCTGATGATGATCCCCCTTGTAACTTGAACCATTTCCATCTAGCTTCTCAGGGCAGCAAGGAGCTTGTTAACATCACCAGCTGACCATGTGTCTCCTTTTCTCAACTCCATTTTCAACTTCGTGCTGAAGAAAAACAAGAACCTAGCGTGCATTCTGTGAAGAAACAGGAAGATGGTTGGGAAGTTGGATGATGCATGAAAAATATAATAGGTGAAAAGAGGACAGAGGTGGTTAACTCACTGGCGCCGGCGTTATTTTGGTGCGTCCATTGACGACAATGGATGTCGTTCTGGGAAAATCCCGACTCCTGGCGAGAAAGGATTAAGTGAGCTACTTTTTCTATACCTCTATACACAGGACTGCTGCCTTGGCTTCACAGGGCTTACACATTTTGACTCCTAAAGTAGACCTCAACAAGAAACATCACCTAACACATTGCTACACATAAGCACGGATTCATTGTCACATGCAGATTTACCAGGCTACATTTTCAGCGGGGACATGTGCATATATTTCTGTTCACAAAAGGAATTATTGTACATCACCCCTCATGCTGAAAATCTACCCTAGACTTCACAGGGCAAAACAGCTGGTTTTAAGTGGTGATTAATTATAATTTGACTGGAAAAGTCTTCATTCATTTGGATCATGAGAAGAAGAGGTAAGGTTCCCATGAATTTGGCAGTTTTTGTTTCAGTTAAATACCCAGTAGATTATGATGGCTAGTGATTCCAGAGCCTCTCTTGTAAATACTGAGGTTACAGGATGTGCATTTCTCCTTATAAAGAGATCTGGGTAGTTATAATTACACCTGGATTAGATGATTTAGGGGCAACATTCTGTATATGCGATAAGTTGGACTATTCTTTTTTTTTTCAAATTTATTTGACAGCACAAGCAGGGGGAGCAGAAGGCAGAGGGAGAGAGAGAAGCAGGCTCCCCACTGAGCAGAGAAACCCAACACTGGGCTCGATCCCAGGGCTCTGGGATCATGACCTAAGCTGAAGGCAGATGCTCAACAGACTGAGCCACCCAGGTGCCCCAAGTTGCACTATTCTTAATAATACTTTTTTTTTTTTTTTTTTTTTAAAGATTTTATATATTTGAGAGAGAGGGAGAAGTCACAGGTTGTGGAGAGGGGTTGAGGGAGAAGAAGATTCCCTGCTGAGCAGGGAGCCCGATGCGGGACTTGATCCCTATCCTGGGATCATGACCTGAGCTGAAGGCAGACAATTTACTGACTGAGCCACCCAGATGCCCTTAATGATATCCTTACTCCTATTTTATTCATATTTATCTCAAGACGTTATCTTTAATTCAACAAACGTATTATTTGCCTGGAAAGTTAAGCATTAAACTCTTTGTAGAAAGTTTAAATAAAATACAGAGTTACCCAGCTGAAAAGTTTTGAGTCACTACTGGAATCTCAGTCTGTAACAAATACTGTATGTGGAATCTGCTATGCAACATTTCAAAATGAAATTATGTGCCCTGGATTTCTGTAATAAATTTCAAAATCCTTCATTGAGATTATTCTGTTTCCGTAAGGATCAATATTATCCTTTTTTTAATTTGCCCCTAAAGAATTGCCCCTAAAGAACATGGTTTTTGATACTACTTCATTGAAATTTTTTTGTAAGTATCAGACTTGGTAAAAGACCAAACTGGTCTAAAACTTATTAGTAGTCCCTTTTGTTATTATCAGATAAATCCTTTCATCTAAATCAGGGGTTGGCCACATCTGCCTTACTGCTTGTTTTTGTAAAATTTTTTGGGAACGGAGCCATACTCATTCATTTTCATATTGTCTATGGCTGCTTTTGCACTGTGGGGGTAGAGTTGAGTAGTTGCTTCAGAGACTGAATGGCCAACAAAGCCTGAGATATTTACTGTCTTGTCCTTTACAGAAAAAGTTTGCCAATAAGTGATCTAAACGGTAAAGTTCAGAGCCTGGCTGCTTGAAACATTCTGATTAAAAAAAAAAAAAAAAGTTTATTTATTTATTTGACAGAGAGAGGATGAGACCACACAAGCAGGGGGAGAGGGAGAAGCAGGCTCCCCGCTAGCAGGGAGCCTGATATGGGGCTTGATCCCAGGACAAAGGCAGGTGCTTAACTGACTGAGCCACCCAGGCGCCCCAAAACATTCTGATTTTGAGTGAAGTCATTTTGACAGTTTATCCTTTGAGATTACGTCTTCTGTTTCCCTAAAGACATAATGATCATGCTTCTATACCTCATGAAGTATTTTTTTAAAAAAGTCTTGACTCTGTTTAGGAAAAGTTACTTTAAATGATTTGGATGTAAGACTGAGAGATGGGAGAGGATATATATGATAGAACTACTGGGCCAAGAGACCTTTAAAGAATATTGTTTTTCCCTCAGGACCATGATCAGGTTAGTTGGAAACTTAAGGGACTTTCTGAGTATAGATAAGTTGGTGTAATCTAATCTTACATGAAACCATAATAAAAATGTATAGATTTTCCTTTTTAATATTGTTAACTTTTACTTGTGTAATTTCAGACTTATAGAAAAACTGTAAGAATACTATTCTGTGTATTCTGCATGGTATATATATACATTCTAGGGACAAATGCAGAAAAAAGTCAGCTAAAAATTCCTCTTATCCCTTTACCCAGATTCCCCAGTGTCAACATTTTACCAAATTTGCTTCATTTTCTCTTAATTTTTTTTAACTTTAAGGAATAAGTTACAGATATGATGCCAATTGCCCCTAGATATTTTAGTGTATATTTTGTAAAAAACAAGGACATTTTTCTTTATGATTGCAGTATATTTATCAAAACCAACAAAATACAGTGACTTAATACTATTATCTGACCAGCAGATCTCATTCAGATTTTACCAATTGTATACCTAATGTGTTCTATAGAAGAAAAAAAGAAAAAAAAAGTTCCGATCCAGAATCTGAGCTAAAGAGTTACATTGAGTTGTATCTCTTTAGTAGTCTTTAATCTGGAATGGTTCCTCAGTCTTTCTTTGCCTTTTATAAACTTCAAATTTTTAAAATATTTTTGAATTTTTTAGAATATTCCTCAGCTTGGGCTTATCTGAAGTTTTATTTTGGATTCAGGTCATACATTTTGTGAGGAGTATTAAATTGTGTCCACACAATGTTGATTTGTCCCATTATTGGCATCGTCAGCTTTGATCACTTCATTAAGGTGGTGTCTGCCAGGTTTTCCCAGTGTAAAGTTACTCTTTTCTCACTATAATTAAAAAGTATCATAGAGGAGCACCTTTGGAAGTATGTAAATATTCTGTTTTTTATCAAATTTATTCATTAGTTTCAAAGTTTGGTGGATTTGCCTGAATCACTTAAAACTATGATGGTTGCCAAGTGGTGATTTTCTAACCCTCTTATTTTAACTTCTGTATGTTTTGGTTGACCCTCTTGTAAGCAAGAGCTTTTCCTGCTCTCCCATGTGGTTCTTACTTGTTGATTAATTTAAGTTTAGACTCATGGATTCTTGGTTATTTGTTGTGTGTGTGTGTGTGTGTGTGTTGCTATTTTAATTTTCTATTAAACATTATTCCAAAAGCATTATTTTACCCTGTATCTTACTGATATAAGGAATCACATCAGCATTAGAAGAACTAGGAAGAAAGATAAATATGGATAATTCAACTTATATGAAGAAAGAAAATTCTAACAAAGGACTGAGAGCTTTACACATTTAGTTAAATATGAGATTATAATTTAAAAAGTGGATCTCAGGGGTGCCTGAGTGGCTCAGTGGGTTAAAGCCTCTGCCTTCGGCTCAGGTCATGATCCCAGGGTCCTGGGATCGAGCCCCGCATTGGGCTCTCTGCTCAGCAGGGAGTCTGCTTCCTCCTCTCTCTGCCTGCCTCTGCCTACTTGTGATCTCTGTCTGTCAAATAAATAAATAAAATCTTTAAAAAAAAAAAAAAGTGGATCTCAGAGCAAACTTTTTGCAAATTAAGCAAACTTAATTTGCGAGGGGGGCGGTGCTTAGACTCTGAGATCAACACTGAGATCAAGACCTCAGCTGAGATTGAGAGTTGGATGTTTAACCAATTCAGCCACTCAGGCACCCCTGTTCATTAATTTTTAACAACAAAACTACACTGGTTTTTCAAGAAGGAAACCCATTAAAAAAATTTTTTTTTAATTTTAAAAATAGGCCTGTGTTCAGCTATAGATATTTTCCCCTCAAACTCTGATCACATTTATTTTGATTTGGGAAGAAAATACCACTTGATGGCATGTAATGCAAAATTTAAGGGTTTTCTTTTAAACATCTTTTTTTTTTTTTTAAAGATTTTATTTATTTATTTGACAGAGATCACAAGTAGGCAAAGGATGGCGGGGGAGGGGGGTAAGCAGGCTCCCTGCTGAGCAGAGCCCAATGCGGTGCTTGTTCTAGGACCCTGAGATCGTGACCTGAGCCGAAGGCAGAGGCTTAACCCACTGAGCCACCCAGGTGCCCCAACTTTTAAACATTTTAATACAGAATTTTTGAAAAACTATTAATGGAGAGTAGATGAAGAACATTAAGTGCAACATGCTAATTACCAGCCAGCTACTGGTGTTTCTTCCCTAGTTTTCTCAAGGAAAACTTAAATTGAATCTTCAGCAGAATGATCCTTAAATATACTTATAAGCAAATTGAGAGCTTTTGTTTACATAGCTTTTAGATTTTGCTTCTCCCAGTTTTATTCTGAAACTCAATTTTAATCCAAACCATAATTACCGTATTAGCTTTGTAATATTCTCTGTTGTATGCAGTTCAGCAAAGCAGTAGTATACCATTAGGCTCTGTTCACCTGGAATTTAGGAAGAACAGAATTGGTCACAACCATGTAAAAACAAATCTCAGGGCACCAGTCTGGTTCAGTCAGTGGAGCATGCAAATCTCAATCTCAGGGTCATGAGTTCAAGCCCCACAACAGGTATGGAGCCGGTGGTTTCTTTACCCCCAGGGCCATCCTTCACCTTAAAGGCAAGAATAACACTAATTTCTTCCCATATTGCTCCTCTTCCTCTTCAAGCTTCTTCTGAGTCTCCTCAAAAACGAGATTTGCTTTAAATCTACCAACTGCAGATCTGGTTGGAGCAACCTCAATTTGATGAGTTCTACAAGAACTGGCAGCTTCAGGGAAACCCATCTTGTAGAGTGTGACAACCACAGCTCCTCTGATACCCAAGTTATGCTGCAGAGCCTCATGGATTCTTGTTTTATACAGTGAATTGTGACCCATTAATTTCATTATG